TATCCAGCAAACACATAATAAGAATACTTAAACTTATCAAATGACCCTTAAGTTCCCATACAACTATTTGATACACTTACTCCCTACATCTCAATATTGACACTTCTTTTCACATTATTTTAACTATGAGAATTTAGTGTTAGGTCAATCGATATCTAATAGTTTTATATTTTTCTTTCCTCTTAACTTTTTTGCTTAACAATATATTACTATTGAAATGAGAAATTAACTTTTGATCCCTCCTGAGATTGAAATAAGTGAACCCTGGTCTACCTTGTTCTGGGGTTGGATAATACTTAATCAAACCAATAAATCAGAATCTCACAGGTGTAGAGATGTTCGTTTCAACACTTGGCTGAAGGACAGTGTTTTTATGCAACTGGTAACCATGTTCACCACCTAACAACTGGGAACTGTTATTAACTAAAGGTATTATAATCATCCTTGTTCAATTCAGATTTCAGAGGAATGACCTTCAACCCTGATATCCTTAATAATAAATTGTTTACTTTTGCATGTAGGGAATTACCCTATGGTTCTAATTGTTCCACAGATTTCTAGACAGTTTCACACTCTTTGATCAGGTCTTTTGTTGATGTTTTAGTCAATACAGGGTAAAAGAGCATTTTTTGCACCTTCCTAAGCCACACAAATTAATTTCCGTCAACGACGTAAACACCTGTGTGCAAAGCGTGGTTACTTTTGAACTGTTTGCTCTCAAGAATCGAGAACAGGTCATAATGTTTGTGCATATTCGAAAACAACTACAGAATTCGAATTTTGCGGTCAAATATCAGCTATTAACATCCAAAGACCTCATTAAAGCATATTCTGACTTTTCAATTTACGATATTTACAATAAACAAAACTATAATCAGCAAGAATAACAATCTACATTTGCAAACAGTTCTGTCCCAAAAATAAACATTCGTAAGCTAGTCGGTGATGAAGTGCTGTCAAAAAGAATGAAGCACGATTACCTGAATGCAGACGGCGGCCTTCCTTCGTAAGGCTTCACAGCACTTCCTCTGAATAATTTTCTATCGGATTCTACTGGTGTAAAGGGCCTTTTCGTATCCAAAAGACGAAGGGAAGATCTAGCCTCAGAGATAATATTTGCACTCGTTTGCCCGTCGGTCGCATAGAATGGCCGGCTGGAGGTTTTCTCGCCTCTCCGCGATTTCTGCGCTGGTGTTGGATCCATCAATGCCTGGAAAAGTTCAGCTACATCCTTCCATCTATGAAAGGTAGACACAATATCATGAACATCGTCAAACGATATTTTGTAATTTCCATATGGTCAATTTTTCCTTCGTTCCTAAGAACGCCTTGGCCGAAACTCGGTAAACTCGTTTTCGTGCTTGAGCCTCGTTCCTGCGTTCGAATGCGACAGAAATCTTTTAAGTCAGCAGTCGTAATTTTCAATTAGAAAATGGCGGGAGCATACGGATCATTCAGGCAGCTCGAAGACAAACCATGTTCTGCTGAAATTCTCTATCAAAAATGGTCGCCAAAGATGGATTTGCTGGCTCTTGTGACAGTCGAGGGAGAAGTTTGGTTGCAAAGGTTGTCGTGGAAGCGAGTGTGGCTGATTTCCGCCGCTGAAGGTCGAGCTGTATCTGTGGCTTGGAGACCGGACGGAAAAATCTTAGCTGTTGCTTTCATTGATGGGAAAATCAAGTTATTCGATATTGAAAACGCTGAATGTGTTCACAAAACTGAAATAGAATCGACGCCTATGTCCTTGGATTGGATAGAAGAAGGAAAAGAGAAGGTGTCAAATGACGAATCAGCTGAGAAAAATTTGCCGTTTTTCGTGGAAAAGTCAGAACTTTATCTGCCTTCGATTTCTCATCTACCAAAATCCACAGGAGCTCTGTTTTACAAAGAAGTCTCACAAGAGGGCTCAGATGATCATAAAAAAATGAAGTGTCTGCCTGACGAGTTAAGCGTGTTAGCCATCGGTGATAAGAAAGGGAGAATTCATTTGTTTCTCTATGGAATTTTTCTCTGTGCTTCTCTTAATACAGTTGATGTCTTGCCAAAGCACTCTGAAAGTGAAGTCATCAGTATCAGTGTGTCGCATGACTTAAGGGTGCTCTCAGCTGTTGTCAAGACATCTGTCCCAGGATCTGATAAACAAGTGGTGACACTGATATTGTATGACTCTGGGTTACTGTCATCAAGGTGTCTTGAACTTGCGGTAGTTGCCAAGAAAATGGGTGAGGTCACCAACTTGATGGATTACTTCGATAACACCTTGCAGGCCATGTCTGATGCTTGGGAAGACATACTTCTGGAAATGGACACCAAGTTGACAGAGTTTGCTGCTGAGCGTTTGACAGCTGGCTCAAGTGTCAGTGGTGAATTTCTGACATTGCTCACTCGTGGTGTGACCAGCCCTGAGTTGCAGACTTTCCTTATCCATGATCTGACAGAAAAAGGCCTCAAGAAGCTTGGTCATAGCATTGAAAATTCTTATTCTAGTATTCAAAATTTGGCACTGAAACACTTGCAGTGTGTGGCACAATCCCTGCTGTTTCATATCACGGAGATACATGGAATGTCACGATGGTTTGAGCAGTTTGGTGAATTGGGTCTTTCTGATTTTGACATCCAAGCGGCTGTATCAAGTCTTGGCTCCATCATGTTGAAAACACAAGAGCTTGTCTTAGTAATTGAAACCAGCCTCAAGAGCTTTAAAGCATTCTTTCAATGGCTTTACTATATTATACTGAGTTTGTCTGATGCAGAAATTCCAGACTTTGTGAAACAGAGAAGCCAGCAAGAAATCATGCTTGTATCAAACTTCATTCAAGATCAGCTTGTGGTCAACAGTCAGGGAAAGTTTACCTTGGAGAGAGTTGGCCAGTACTTTGATCCAAAGCCACTTACAGTGAAGCCTCCATTTGGAAACAATGACTGGGCCAAGTTTGTGGAGAATCATCCAGCACTGAAGTCAAGTCCATTGCTGATACCTGATGAGTCAACAGAGTCACTGGTCATTCTTTCTGGGAAGCTCCATGGACACCTTAAGAAGGTTTTCACTGAACCAATTAGTGTCATTAGCAAAGCTATCTCTTGTTGGAACTGTTCTCCACTCTATGAGATGAGCAAAAGTGAGCAGTCACCCTTTTGTTTAGCACAGATAGGAGGTCCTTTACATCCACTTTTGGTCTTTCCTGATAGAAATAAACTGTGTATCATTTCTATCAAGGCGAATGAGCACAGATTGTTTTTTGCAAGGATTTGTGTTGATCATTTACCATGTGACACTAAAACAATGAAATACTCATTCTCGCATGTCATGTTCTATGACTCTGAGTATTTAACTGTTTTGCTTCAGCAACAGGAAGTTGATGGCATTAGTGGTGATGATGATGACAGTGAAACAGAAGGGACATCAATTTTGGCTCAAGTTCCTTATCAATTCCTTGATGATAAAGACTTTGTAGACATTGCTCAAGCAAAGCAGACATACATCAATCAGTTATCTCAACCTCCAGGAATTACTGTAGGGTCAAGAATTACTCATTATCGAAAGCTAATTGGCATGAAGGCTGGGTCTTTGGCTGTCAGTGGAACACGTAAGGTGTCATGTGTATTGTCAGCTTCACAGAGAAATGTTCGATTGTTTGATATGGATGCCGAAGATGATGAAGCAGATGATGATGAACCTGAAAATGAAGAATTAGATAATGCTTTTGAAGAAAAGCAGTGAGAAACAGCAAGTCTTTAAAAAAGCATAATACTATAATGTTTATTTAGCTTTGAAATTTATGCAATGAATGGTGACCTTGTTTGGTTGCCATAGTCTTCCATTATTTATGCCAAATAATCCAGAACAAAATATATAGAACCATAAACTTTCCAGTTCATATTTTCTGATGAACATTTGTGGAACTTAATAGCTGTAAAGACACCTTTATGTTACATCTAGGTGAATATTTGCACATTGCTAAAGTAGTTTACTTTATTGACTTCATTAAATTTATCCCCTCTAAATTTTCTAATTATTCTGAATTAACAGCTTAATACTTGACGCTCATAAGGCCAGCTGATAATGGGGTGGAATTGAAAGTTAAATTAGGCCAAAACTTAAAGGAGAAAATTTGAAGCTAAGCTAGACTTTACAAATATGTATTCATTGGAATTCTCCCTGTATTAAAGGTGATTTTTCTTGTATCTCTTTTCAAAAGAAAAACCTAGCTGATATATCAAATTTTGAATATTCCATTTCACAGAAATACAATTTGGATGCTATGGTGTTGCATTTGTAATAATGACCTCAGGAGAAGTCTTGTTAGGGCTTGTACTGATGTGAAGATAAGCCTTGGAAATAAACTGGAGACCCTAAATGGCAAAACAATGCTTTTGTACCATCTGAGTCAGAGTAGCCCCTGAAATTTAGCTATGCATGTGCAGTATGGAAGACTCATCAAGCCCCTATATGCTCTCTATTTCATCATTCCTTCTTGACTCATATCCTTGTTATTCCATAAGCAATTTTATTATAGGAACAACTCTGATAGACTTGCAGGAAACAAACTAGCAGTTAGATTTACCACCTTGGGAGTGAAGCTAATGTGGAGCAAAGGGTCTGAATAAGGAGAACTTCAGGGATTGTATGATAACTACGCCTTCTTAACCACCAAAAGTGATAAGTAAGTAATTTCTCCTAACACTATCAAAACCCTGAGATTTGTTGCAGAAATCAAGTGAACTCTTAGGGCCCAGAAAGAAAGGTGAACGATTTCTGGAGCATAATCATGGCAAAAAGTTGATTTTATATGTGATATCAGTTAAAACAATCTGGTAAGAGCTATCTACAATATGGCCGTGTCCACACGTCACGTAGCCAAAAGTCACCGTAACATCACACGAGCAGAACAGTCTAAACCAACCCCGTTCCCAAGGTCCGCTCGGAGAGAACGAGAGAGGACCCTGGGAATGAGGTTGAGTTTGGACTAGAGTCCAGCCTCCCGTGGGTTGAGACGCAGATTGGATCATTTCCTCTCAAGTTTTTGCTACAAAGGTTGGAACAATGGTTACTAAAGGCAATCTTTCCGCTGTGCTTCATAAAGTTGACGATCTTAGCTTGGTAAGAAAGCGTGCTATTATAATTCCTCTGGCATTCTAAATCTAAGATCTCGAAACAAATTGTTCGTTCTCCTTTCACAGGAAGAACGCCCTATCCCTCAACCTGGCAAGGGCGGTAGGTGTCTCTAAACTTTTCACTTTGTCTCCTCGATTTTTCCTTTCTTGAAGCAATTTCTTGCGTGAAACAACGCACTCGTAGCTGCTTATTGATTTTCCTCTTGAATTACCTTAACATTCTCTCCATAATTACATTATTATTGGAATATAACGCTGGATGATCTACAAAAAAATAACCAATACGAGGATCAGTCATGTGACGTTGTGAGTCACGCAAAAACAGGCAAAACAACTCGAACATTTAAGACGACAAGGCGAGGTTAGATTTGTCCATGATATTCTCTTCAACTGGTCTCGTAGTTTAAAATACATTTTTCAAGGCTAAATTTCAGAATACCCCGCAACTCTGGTCCGCCTCACTTACATGTGTCGGGAAGCTTTGAAGATCGAGGCATAACACAATAGACGCTATTCTTATTCAATGACATGTCAATGAGTTGCGGGGTATTCTGAAGTTGCTCCTTTTTCAAATTATACTTCAGTGCTTAAAATTGATTTTTTTCCGCAAATTACATGTTAGAAATTTTGAAATACTTTTTTTGGACAAACTATAGAGGTGCAAATTCAGATGCATGCAGTTGGGATCTGTGGTTCAGATGTGCATTACTGGAAGAAGGGAAGAATTGGAGATTTTATCCTCACAGCACCCATGGTCCTTGGACATGAATCAAGTGGAGTGGTATCTGCTGTTGGTGAAGGGGTGACACATCTTAAAGTTGGTTAGTGTGATGAGTTCTCCAAGGGACAAGATAGTTGAGAAATTTTATTCTAATCACAGTGCAGCCAATTCAGTCCATGTCATCAAGTATCAGTCCCATTTGGTTATGTTTTTTAAAAGAGTTTCTTATTAGCATATAGATGCTTGATATGTCAGTACCTACGCAGAATAATTTAATTTTGTTGCATCACTGTGTTAGGTGATAGAGTAGCTATTGAACCTGGTGCTGGTTGTCGTCAGTGCTCATTCTGTAAGGAAGGACGGTATAATTTATGTCCAGACATGAAATTTGCAGCAACACCTCCCATTGATGGCTCACTCTGCAGATATTATGTTCATGCTGCTGACTTTTGTTTCAAGTAAGTTCATTTGGTGCAGACATGTTGCAAATGAAAAAAATGTGTGTGTGTATTCAAGACTAAGGTGCACAGCAGCTACAGCTTTGTCATAGTTACAATGGCATGGCTGGGGGAACAAGGTTTATTACCATTTCTTCTGAATGGAAGTCAACACACTGAAGTTGACACCTAGCGTTTTTTCAAATTGTTTTCTGATGGTTCAGTAATACCCATTTTTACTCCTTAGAGATATTGAGAGTGGTGTACCCTGCAAGAGACCTGAACATTATTACCTTAGCTATTACTGTAACCGAGACTTGTCAATCCTAAGTTTAGTGCACTTACAATTTAGTCTTGGTGTTTCCCATTTCTTAGCAACATTCTAGATATATCAAGTCCAAGGGGCCAGTACAGTTTTTTTTGTTTTTTTCAGGATAAATTTTTACAAAAAAATTTTACTTATAATTCTAGATCTCAAAATTAGGAAACCTTAGGAGGATGCTTAACCCTTTCACTCCCACAAGAGACCAAGACAGAATGTCTCCTTACAATATCAATACAATATCAAGCAGGCAGGTGATGAGAATAGAGAAGAATATCAATTATGGGATTATTAGTTGATCCAATACCAAATTCTCAGAACTAACATCATAAGAATTGTATGACAGATAGTAAGGAGAATTACTAAATAGATCTTGGGAGTGAAAGGCTTAATGCACAAATCGAGTATCAACATGGTGTCTTATATTTACTTATGTTCGTCCAAATTAAGAACAAGGAGATCTAGTCAAAGTAAATCTTTGATTACTATCAGTAACGAGTTATTATTATCCAACTGTTTTGGATGATAAACAGCCCTCTGGGTTTATCAAAATACAGCACAACTTGTAAAAATACTCAGCAATACTACACACCAAAATGTATATTTAGATATATATATGTTAATTAAAATCAAACAATCTATGGAAAAGTTTCTATTGAGTATAATGGAGCAGAAGTATCAAATAATTTACCAATTGATTTAAAGGAATCAACATTTTATCTCAAATTCAATAAAACTTTAAAAACCTGTATTCAGCATAAATTATCAAAAATGGGACCCAGAAATTAATTAATAAAGATAAAAATAAAAATGATTCATTTATTAATTAATAAAGATATTTGTAATAACCATTGATTTTTTCTTTTTGCATATAATTTTATTACTTTAAAATTATTTATATTCCATCTGGATGTCTGATGTCATATAAATTTTGAATTATACTATAGAAAGGGAGATCTTTGTGATAGCTTTAGTGAGCTTGCCTAAGTTCTCCTGGCTTTGTTATGTTAGAATAATTAACAACATGATGTCTTATGCTGTGATGGGCAAATAAAATATGCACCACTGCAAAAACTACATTTCAGTGATTTTATTGTGACAGTTGTGAAATTTGTCTGTTTAGACTTCCAGACCATGTTTCATTTGAGGAAGGAGCTCTTCTAGAGCCTCTGTCTGTTGCTGTACATGCATGTCGCAGAGCAGGTATCTCCATTGGAAGCAATGTACTTGTTTGTGGAGCAGGTGAGAATATTATAAACTAGTATGTTGTGAAAGTAGTGTGAACATCATAAATTTACTTTCTTATCATAGATTTTAGTATCGGTAGTCCTTTGTTTGAAGTATTGTACTGTGGAACATCATATAGAAAAATAAAGAATGGGTTCATGTGAATCGTGTCAATGTTTGAATGAATTTAAGCAAAATATTTTCTTTTTGAAGTTAATGGTTATGTATCCAGTATGATAAGGAAATACAGGTATTTATCAAACTAAAAACTGGTCTAAAATTATTTTTGACCATTTTGATTTCAATATTCTTATCATTACAGGTCCCATTGGTTTAGTTAATCTCTTGACTGCTAAAGCTTGTGGTGCAAGCAAAGTGGCTATCACAGGTGTGCACTGTTCTTAGATATTTATAATGCTCTTTAACCCTCTATAATCAATTCAAAATCAAGTTTACAAGTGATGAGAACAAAGAAAAATGTTACTTTGATGATTATCAGTTGATCCAATACTAAGTTCTCCGAATTGAAATCATTCGAATTTTGCTACAGAAAATAAGGAGAGTTACCATTGAGATCTTGAGAGTGAAAGGGTTATAACTTTAATTTATTTCCACCAGTAAGAAATTCTCAAGTATGAAATTATCACACTAGCCATATTGCAAGATTTGAAAGAGTAACTAAACAAAAATTGTTCAAACTTAAAGGTGATTTCTTCCTAAGGGAGCAAGGTTTAATCTCATTGCACTGATGATCTAATGTAACATTTCAGATTTCATTAGTTATCTTTCTGATAAACAAAGATGTAGAATACAGGTATTTAAATATAAACTGAATATCATATTGCTTGTGTTTCATATAGATATTGATGAGGGTCGACTGAACAAAGCCAAAGAACTTGGTGCTGACTATATCTTCAAAATAGACCCTAGCAAAGACAGCCGTGATATAGCCAAGGAAATTGAAAACAGCCTGGGTGCTGCAGATCAAACCATTGAATGTACTGGAGCTGAGTCAAGCTTCCATACAGCAATTTATGTATGTTTTATTTAACACCTGAACTGGGATACTTTGATAATGTAGAAAGTGCAGGTTGGGTAGTTTCAGGACTGGACAAGTTGAATGGTTTATAACAGTAGTTTTAGTCCTTGTCCTTATCCTGTTAACCCTCTACACCCTTACATTAGTAATCATTTTCTCTCTACTGTTGTCTTTACTTTTCCTATAGTACAGATGAGGAGAATTTGTCTGACAATCAGGAGCTTCTATAATTGGTGATCATTTCCTTTATTCTCACAACCTTTATAGTTGATTTAAAGTTGATACTGTAAGGAGACATTAGAAACCAGTCACTCTTAAATGTTTAAGGGTTAATCTTCCCTATTTCTTTTAATGCCCTCTGTCATACCCTTGTGGGTGTTTGTGGTTATATCTGCATTACAATCTTTTGCCCTAGTCCACTCCCAATTCCATTTTCAATCCAATGCAGTTTCCTACATGTCCATCTCCACATTTATCTCCATGTCCAATTTTTATGGCAGCCTCAAGCATGCCATCATGTTTTCTGTGTTAATATAATGAGTTACCACCCTGTGAGCACAAATGCAATTTAAATTTTTAATCTACAGGCGACAAAGTCAGGAGGAACACTTGTGGTTGTTGGAATGGGAAAGCCAGTTGTTCAATTTCCTATTGTTGATGCATTGGTTAGAGAAGTGGATATAAGGGGAATATTCAGATACACTAACTGGTTTGTTAAAAAAAAAAGAGATTTAAAAGATTCATTCCTCTCACTTTCTCTTCCCTCACTAAAAGTTCTCTTCACTCATCCTCTCTTTCAAACTGAACCTTCATGCTATGCTCACCCTACCCCACCCTTCCACTGGTCACTTCTTGTCTTCCCTTCCTACCCTCCCTTGGTTTTGTTTGTATCTATTTGTCTACCCCCCTTGCAATTGCCCCTACTATATCCATTTCGTTTCTCCTCCTCTTTTTAATCTTCACAACCAACTTTTTCTCCCCTTTTGTTCCACTACATACTATGTCATTTGGATATAACACACCACCTATAAATTCTCTTTAGTTAGCTTCTGATCTTTTCTTAACTATTATAATTGCATTTTATTTAATTATTTTATAAAACAGTTATCCTGCCGCCCTTGCATTGGTTGCTTCTGGGAAAGTAGATGCCAAACCACTGATAACACATCACTTCAAACTGGAGCAATCACTTGATGCTTTTGAGACTTCAAGAACTGGTGCTGGAGGAGCTATAAAAGTTATGATTCACTGCAATGAGGGATATCAGATTTAATGAAGAAACCTAATATATGCCAAACTGTTGTCTCAAATATGCATAAAGGTTGTTTTCTTGGTCTAACACCAACTTCTTGCAACTAATTTATATGGAAGGTAATTTAGTGTTAACAACTGGGTTGAAAACGTAAATTAGCCACTGTAAAGGGTAAAAAAGCTGATGTTTCGAGCGTTAGCCCTTCGTCAGAGCGATTGTAATCGATTGTAATCGCTCTGACAAAGGGCTAACACTCGAAACGTCAGCTTTTTTATCCTTTACGGTGGCTAATTTACGTTTTCAACCCAGTTGTTAACACTAAATTACCTGCTATACTCTCCCACTGACGCAGCACCACAGTTTCTTTAGAAACTTACCCCTTTATTAATTTATATGGAGATGTGTAGCCACTAGAGGGGAAAATTAACAGTCAGATCTTGGGAGTTAGAGGGAGAAACATTGGAAAACTCATGCAGAAAGTACAATAGTGAGTTTTAGGAAAATGCATTCAGGGGCTTAGCCAGCTTTTTGACTTGTTGCAAGCCTGTTATGAAAGAAAGCTCAATTTTTGTTTCAACTTTTATCATATTATAACTTAATATTATAAAAGTCAAGCAGGGAGAAAAAATTGTAGGCCTACAGGCTGACTATGCCACTGACATCTTTATGCCTAATATATCATCGGCACAAGTGGTAACTAAAGTATGGATATTTTTAATTTCAAGAAAGTAGTACTGACTTGATTGATTCAGGGTTCCAAGTTTTAGTTGATCATAGTCTTACAGGTTAAGTAAGCTTATTTAAAACAAAATATAGTGAATTGAAATTAATAGACTAAAAAGCTACCACTGATAAAAATTTCGAAAAACATCACCCTGTGCAACATTTTAACTTTAAGGAGAAATGTGGCAATTAAAAAAAATATTAGCAACACAAGAGAAAATAAAAGCCTGTATGTATTTTTCTTTTTGTCAGTTTTTTTATAACTCAAATAAAACTTTGACAAAAACTGATATGTTTATTTGTAAGGTAAAAGTTAGGGTTAGCTGAAGAGCCCACTGATCCATTTAATCAAAGCTTTTTGGAGTTTCCATGGCAGGAAACACGTTTTCCCCAGCATTTCTATCAGATTTCTTTGACAGTTGTTTGGCACCCGTTGAGTTGAGGGAGGGAGGTGCTCTTCTTTAGAATGGCTAAATGAGGTGTGCTTGATGCCTGAGGTATTAATTTTTAAACAAACTTTACTATTTCTGTCCTAAACAGGCTTCTTTCCCAGATCAGGAGCCATGAAAAGGATGTGAACTTTGGCAATTTTCGGGCTAAATGTGCATAGCTAAGAATATTCTAAAATCTAATTACATGCATTCAGTCTGAATAACCGTGACACTATACTATAGTTGACCCAACGTGGCCAACATGCCAAAATTTAAAATCTCTTATTTGCTGTTAAACGTTCTTGTTGGGAAAGATACAAACTACAGCTATTGAAATCATGGAAGAAAAACAAGCTTGATCATAATAATTTTTCCCCTCCAATATGCTCTTTGTATTGGACTGCACTTGGATCTGTAACGCAAGGCATTTATCTATATCTATTCATGTCAACCTCGTTTTGATGAATACCACGCTTTGAACGCTGAAGTCCTGGGTACTTGTAAAGAATCAAGATGGCGGCTGCATTTGGTGTTTGGGAGGTAAAGTTTCCTTCTTCTCGTGCGGTTTACGATGAAGAAGACGAAGAAGACGAGGAGTTATCTACCTCGGAGAATGAGTTGAAAATTTCTGAGTTTCATTGGATATCCCGGAATATCAATCAAAAGCCCTCTCCAACTCACTGCTCCTTACTCGTTCTCGCGATCGGAGAAGTTGGGACGACATTTGTAGAAGCTCACTATCTGTCAGCGGGGAGTGAAATCGTTGCCTGTATTTCAACAAATAAGAGAAATGAAATAGATTTTGAAAATTTGTGTTCTCCGTCAAAATCAGGCGAGACGAGCCGCTTATATCGTTTGAAAACGCCACACGATAATGACTCAGCAGTTCTTTGTCAATGCCCCACACCAGTGTCACAGGAAAAAGCATTCCAGTGGACTGAAAAGGTAGACATGCATACAATTAAAAAGATACGGAGTATTGAAAATTGTAAGCTCCGTTCAAACGGTCATGATAGTTGATGGTGGTCGACGATAGTTTCAACTTTCATTTATTATTATAGACTAGCATATTTGCGTTCAAACGCTTCATGATAGTTGATGATTATTGACTAAATTACGCGGTGAAATCACCTATTTGTAAACAAATATGTCATGCCCTGAGGTCAGCAACTTTGGCGGCGTTTGAAATTTTTTAGTCAAGAGGTTGTAATTGCTCCACACTCTCTTTACATTTCCTATGATGCTGACAAGGAAAAAATTTTTGCAGTAGTATTCATTATCTAATGATAGCCTTATCTGCCGATTGCCGGCCAAAAATCCAGGCGGTGATTGCTGCTTTTTCATTGGCAAATATCATCAGCAGTGGGTGCATAGTGACAACCTTGGTATGCTTGTCAGATATGTACCAAGTAGAGGTCTTGCTCAACATAGCTCTCTCAGTAGCTCAATGGTATAGCATCAGAGAAAGAATTAAAAGGTCTGAGGTTCGTTTCCTGTTTAGGGACTCAAATTATTTTTGTGTGTATCCCACTCTCATCTTTCTTTATGATTTTTCAGTTGTTTGAATTTCTAAAGCCATCCAAAGTTGTCATCTTATCATCAGCACCAGCCTGTGAATATCACACTGACACACCTGAAAATCTCAAGTCTGACTTTGTGAAAGTTTTAAAGACAGATTCCTGGCTGGAAAAGTTGTCACAGAAAGAGTGCTCTTTGTTGGAAACTCCCAATGTCATCAGTGGAGTTGCAGCTTCAGGTGAGAAATAATGATGTGATTACAGTGAAACTCCCCTCACTCAAAATAAGTTAATAACTTGAACAAGATTCGGTTTCCTTTAAACCATTTTTTCTGTCAATTACTATTCTTAGCTAACTTGAATGCCCACTGACTTGAACCATGTTTTCTTTCCCTGAGGAGTTTAAGTCAGAGAAGTCAGAGTGGCTCTTCTATAGTCGCCACCATTCCATTTTTATCACTATGTCTAGGACAAAAAACTTTAACTTGCCATGAAAGTCAGAAATTTGGTGATCTGTGTCTGTTGGTCTTGTAACAAGCTGTAACATTTTGATTACCCAGTGCATATAGCCTCAAGTTAACCTTTTGACCTTAAGAGTGACTAGCTAACAATATCACCCCTGAATCTTATAATCAGGTCAGAAGGAAAAAGGGAAATGATAACCAACTAAAGAAGCTTTTGATAGTTAAATGCATTCTCCTTGTCAGCACCTTAGGATATGTATAGAGAAATGTATGGAACCCTTGAATGTATTTTTTGATGATTTTGATATTAAAGAGGTATTAGAAAACTTAATTATGTTTTATTGATGATAAAATAGTAGTTTAAACTAGTCATTAATGTGCATATTTATTCATTTCTGTAGATGATATATTTATTTAGATACTTAATTGCTTTTTATCTCTTTTTGGTGCAGTTTTGCAGTATTGTCAGATCCACAATTTAGCTGCAGCTTTATTTGTATGCTTCATGGAGTCATCTCACGTGGATTCACAATCTGTTGAAACCTTCAAATTCCTCCTCAAAAGTCCTCCCTTAAACTCACTTC